ATTACAAACTCATATCTTGTGCGGCTCGCAACCAAAGTGACCGCAGGACCAAAGGATGTGGCATTCCGGGTGGGGGACATGGCGCTCCGACCGATTGCGGGGCGATGCTAAAAATTGTTCAAAATTTGCATTTTATATTAACGGAAACAGTTGTTGCCTTTGAGCACACAAGCTCCCCCAGCTGGAACCCACATCCACATCCACATCCATCCTCATCCGCATCCGCTGCTCTTGTCCGGCCTGTTACACAATTCTAAAGCAAATTTGACGCGTTTATGCATGTAAATTAAACAAATTTGATTTTAAATATCTTGTGGCAGAGGCGGACGAACGGTGCAAACGGATGGGATATGAGCTGGCCATATGGCCTGGGATTCACCCACCAGCATCATAAATAAAACAAATTCCTGGCCAGCAGGCGGCGGTCCCTGGGAAATATGGATTTAGACTTGGAAAGAGCCCAAGTCACCGTACTTCATGCGGTTGTTGAACTTGAGGTCCATTAATGCTAAGCATATTGAAATGCAAAACCCTCAAGAGAGCAACCACTTGTTACGCTCCATTGGATGCGTCTAATCTGGACATGGAGTCATTGTGTTATGGGGATTAGAAGGATGCACGGGAGTCGGGGGTCCTGATTGTGGATATACATTTACTGGCTGGCGTATCGATTTCTGCCGGCTTCAATGAGCCTGTTATAGAGTAGATACGGCTATTTGAAAGTATTTAAGTGTATTATTTAGAATAAAATGCAGCAAAAATACGTTATATCGATGCAGCCATCTTCCAATATAAACCATTTCCCAATACTGGAGTTCGCTTAAGCAATCATTCAATTTAAATATACCATTTGGGGCGAAAACTTTGCTAGTTCGCCGACCAAGTGAAACAAGGCGAGTGACGAAAAGTTCGCACGTGCTGGAGCAACGAGCGAAAGGATTATGGGCTAAATGTCGCAGCAGCAACGGCATCATCGGGATCAGCACCTCGAGCCACAGGACAAAGAGCACCCAGCCGCCCACCTCCGAAGGGGCGTGGCCAGATGCACGGCAAAATCAAAGGAACAGTTCGGAGAGCACTTAAAAGTCCATTAATGGCATTAAGTGGACATCGGGCGGGTTTTTGGGGCACATTTGCTCCACAATGTTCGCAAATCGAACGAGGGACTTAGGGGCAACTAAGCTGGATTCGAACCTTAAATATATTTCACGCAGGTGCCACACTGCAGATTCTCGCATTTAAGAGTCAAACCAAACATAATTTTGATGGGCTGCTCACGTTGTGCCGGGGATTTGCATGACAGGCAACACCAAAATCTGACAATAGCTGCGAAATTTCAATGGCTGGAAAAGTCCCCAGTTGCTGGTAGTTTGGCTGACGCTGTTGCTGTTTTTGCTGTTTTTGTTGCTATGGGATTGGGTTTGGTTGTTCGATTTTGCGCCGACGGCTTTGAATTCACGGGTTTTGGCCGGGAATAAAACGCACGAATGCGCCGCCATCGCAGCCACGGCGCAAAACAAAAATGACAATGGCAGGCAGCAAATTTTTGCAATTCCCAACAGCACTTCAACTTCCGGCTGCCATTTTTTCCGGCCCCGGCACCGGCCCCGCCCCCAGCCTCGCCCACCGCCCCTGACCGCCCACAAGTTGACAAAAGTTTTGCAGCAGCCATTGAAAATGTGACTCCATTTGAGATTTGCCCGGCCAAAACAACAACTGCGATGGATTAAAGCTGACCATGGAGTGCGGACTTTTTGATACCTAGTTACTTAGAGATGGAATCGTTCCAAAATATGTACATAAAGCTATATCTTAGAGCTAGAAATACAATAAATTGCATACATGTTTTGAAGATTGAGATCAAGTCTTAGACTAGAAACCAATATTTCTTCATATATCTCTCGATCAAAAACCAATATATACAAATATAACAAATTGTATCTTTTTTATATGCAAAGTGCCCAGTAACTGATACGTTGTATTCGCTTTGCAAGCGCAAAGGGAATGGCAATATTTGTGAAATTTATATTAGCAAAAAAAAGTTTGAAATTGCATATGAATGGACTACCCACCCGCCACCCTGTAAAATCCAACACCCGCTCCCGCTGTGCATAAAAAACCGAAATTTATTTTATGTTTGAAACATTTTAGAGCCCGTGGAGTAATGGCCATTGCACTTTTAAAGTGCCTGAAAAGCGTTAGATACCTCCGCCTCCGCAATCGCCACTCCATTCACATCCGCATCCGCATCCGCATCTGCATCCGCATGCAGCAGTGCCGCAATCAACTTGCAATCGAATGCAATCTGATGTGCTGATGTGTGGAGTGCAGTGGGTGGTTCTCGGGGCGATGGCATTGAGTGACTTGTTCCCAGGGAGGCCGCCCCGCTCAACTTCTCGCCACTCCTTGAATGACATCCGCATTGCATTTGCATTTCGCAGAGCTCTCAATCAAATGTCTGGAACAAAGTGCTGTGCTGTTGGGAAAAGTTGTTCAGCACTCGCAAGTACCAAGTACACACTACCGGGCACGGAGTGCCCAAGTGCTCGTCCGCCGATCTGGGACTGCTCCAGTGGAAGACCTGATGCAGTTGAAGGATGCTGGAGCTGTGGATGGTCACAAGTTGGAAGCAGTGCACGTCCAACGTTCGGCCATCAATCAAATCTTGATAAGGAGCAAATTCAATTTTGACAAATCACAAATAGGCTTTTGTAAACTCAAATTAATGGCAATTGCAGCCGAATGCCCGACGTAATTAAACACACAGTGCACAAATGTGCATTTGTGCATCTGGACAATGTGTGTGCTTGCATTTGAACAAGACTACTACTTAATTACTTTGCGATGTCATTTGCTTAAGGCCGCCTAATATGTGCCATCTAAATATCTCAACTGATAGGCCTTTCCAAACCTTGGCTTTCATTTTTGCTCTCAGGCTGGTACGCAATTTCGCATTTCGCATATACTCGTATGTTCAAATAGCAAATAAATAATGCATTATGGCAGACCAGAGTACAAAAAACAAAGAGAATTCATTGTGGCTTAATGCACAGGTCCGTGGCCATAAAAATATATGACTGTAAATGCAAGTGCAATATTTGCTGGCTGCGTAAATATTTATACAAAATTTCTTTTGATTTATTTGAGTGGAACTAATTGTGGGCGTTGAACTGCAAAAAAACCGAAATAAATCATAAATTTGCCAGAGACCGATAAAGATTTGCGATAAAAAAAGGCAGGCGCATGAAGTATGAGCGGGTTATATTTACATTTGCATTGTCATATTGAACTTTCGCTTTGTGCGACTGACACTGAGTGGAAATTATTTAATTAAACTATCATCAGATAAATTGAAGCAGACAACACCACCACCTCCAACTGGCTGACTGAAAAGGGAGCTTCGTGTCTATGAAAAATTAATTTCGCTACGAAGATACACTTGCGTGTTTGCGGACAATTTGTTGTCGGAAAAACAAGGAAAAGGCGACACAAGTTTAACACTTGGCAAAGTCGCATCAAACTCTCGCCAAGTCTGCGATCTGTAGGAAGGTCAACTATATTGCTATGGGAAAATTAAGAAAGATTATGGCCCTTGCGGAAGATCCCGAAACTAATTAACACATGCTATTGCACTTGCCGCAAATCCTTGCCCCAAGCCAGCGGAAAACACTGGAAAATGGCAATTTAAAAAATAATTATGAAAATGTCTGCGGCGAAAAGCGCTGGCAGGCAGCTTCTGAAGGAGCTAAATGGTAATGAACATTACAAAAACAATTGCGAGTAATTATAATTTGAATGATAATAGCGAAACTTCTTAATCCCCGCAACGGTAATTTTTATCATCGCTTTTTCGCCTTTCCCACACACAAAAGGCTCGGAGACAAAGGCGAAACCGTGGAAAACTCATATTAAAGGACGCCGCGCCGAAAGGAAATCGTTCCGCTCCCGTTGCAATAACATTTCAAAGCGAAATGAAACCACGGGAAAAAGCGATCTGAATCGCGAGGGAAATCCTTATAAATATTTCGGGAAATAAGAAGCAATGTAATGTCGGACAATATACATACATTCATATACATTCTCCACATTAAGCTCATGAGTTGGAGGATAGCCAATGATACATATACGAAATGGTTAAATGTTAACATCGGTAGACAACAGCTAATTCACATCAGTTTGACGTCTTATAGAACTATTCAGAACTGTTCAATTTGATTCAGAGGCCACAAAAACCATTTTGGCCACAGTCGTTAAAAAACGTAGCATACTTTTCTGCGTTTATATGAGTGAATTCAAACGATGCCGTATCCTTGTGATTTCAGTGCTGCCTTTACCAATTTTATAGTCAAAGCTACGTTAGTTGCACTAAAAAGTAATTGTTTAATCCCCAACTATGGTTATTTCCTGCAACAACTCATCTGTTTATGCGCGAAGCTGTCGAAGCATCATGGAAATTAATTCTAATTTGCAGCTCCGCCCAGAAAAACCACACGCCCACAGCCGGACGTGGAGCTCATCAAGCCGTCGCCGCCAGAGACTTGCCCACTTTGCAGCTAATTATTCAGATGAAATAACCGGGCCAAAGAATCGAGGCCAGAGAAATTCGCTGCGAAAAATCAAACAACGAAATTGCTACTTGCAATTTCTCGTCACGTTCAAAACTTAATTAGTACATCAGACCATCAACGCGGCAGAGATGCGGCCAAAAGCTGGCTGAAATGGATGGGGTGGACGGGAAGTGTGGTCCTGCGGAGGCTGGGCCTGTCATAAGGACGTCATGTTTCTTAATTAGTTCTTTGTTATCATAACTTTGGTGAACTGAGCGGCTGCGTCCCGGACTTCTGGACTTCTGGGCTACTCGACTTTGGGAGTGGACGCTTTGGATGGCTGGGCGCTTCATTAGCACGGCATTTCGAGTTTGGCCAGCAAGCTGGAAAATCGATCGAGTCTCAGCTACTTATGGCATATCAATTATAACCCATAACCCATGCTACAACTCCTCAGTAAAAACACAGAATAGCTTGATTTTTGTAATATTTTCTTTTCATATTTAATCTTCTTTTTCTCAATGTATTATCTATGCTGGAGGAAAGGTTTCCAGGCCAGGCCAGTTGGTTCACCTTGAACCCATCCCCCTCCGGGATCAGTTTCGATGGCTGGGCGTTGGAGTGGGTGGGTGGTGACCCCGGAAAATCCCGGCCCGGGGGCACTCCGCTGCCTGCTACTCCACTGAGCACATATTCCGGCTCTTGGCATGCCGCACACGTAGAAGATTTCCGCACGAATTCGCAAAGCAACTCTTGATCCCTTTGACTCAGCCGGCGACATGTTTTCTTTGCCATTCTCTTTGATGTTTACAAATTACACCGAAAGTTGGCAAACAAATTTTCTTATTCACTTTTTCCCGAGTGCACACAATGAAATGGGCAAGCCAAACCGAAACGAAACGAAACGAAACTGAACTAAACTAAACTAAACTAAACTAAACCAACGGATTGGCACTGGTCCGGGGGGATTGTTGGATTGCTGGATTGCTGGATTTCTAGATTTCTGGCTCGGAAGGTAAACGTTGAGAAATGCGGACGGAAAACGTGCCAAGTGAAATTGCGACTAAGAGACAATATTGTGTAAACACATTTACAATGCATTCTTGAGCCCTGGCCAAATACCAAAACTCTTGGAAATTGATTTACCAATTGGATTTGCGGGCGAATATAATCGAAAAACTCAGTTCCCTTTTGGAGTTTGCCAGGCATTTTGTAAACAAACCAAATGAATTCAAATGTGTACTTTACCAATCTGTTTTATGAAGAAAAGAGTATTTGAATAAGTGAATAAATGATTGGCCATTTCTGCAGCAGAAATTCTCCGCCTTTGATGCGGGAAAAGGGGTCCTTTGACGGGAAAAGCCAGAAACTAAAACAAAAACTTTTTAAATTTCTCCAATTATATTTTTACGCTATAGAAAGTTTGATGCCGAGCTGACTTCGTATGCTGATCTGCATCAGGCCAAAACAAACACACACCAACAAAACACTACTCACACAGCTCAAACTTTCACTACGAGTGTGTGTGTGCTTGCTTACAAGTGTGTGTGTGTGTGTGAGTGTGTGGGGGAGAGATTCCATTTGTGCAAACAACAACGATAAAAACATCTTGAGGTCTAAGGATGAGCAAACTTTTTTGTTCACTCATTCATAAGTTTTTAATTAAATTGCCGTCACATTTCTCTTTTTATTTCGCCTTTTTTTATTTTTTGCCCAAAAAGAGATCCTTTCTTTTAATGAAGCCGACTTTTATGTCAGATTGGGTGTGTAAAAGGGTTCCATATTTAATGGGGCCGATCTAGATAGGGGAAAATCTGGGTTGCAGAGTGATTAAAATTGCAGGGAAAATAAGATGGCTGTGGAACTAAATTGGCAATAAAGTATTACACTATCATCAATGGCATTATTTAATGTAGGTAACAGCTTAAGGTAGGCAACAGTTTTAAAATATATATAAGTTTATATAAGCCTATAAAATAATGGAAATCTGTCTTGGCAATCTTAATTGTTTGTTTGCTGTCGCGACTTTGGCCGCTGACTTAATGTTTTTGATAAGCGTTTCGTTTTGTTCAATTGAATGGGATTTTTCGGGGCAGCGGAAAAAAGTAAAATAATTGCACGCGATGTTTACACGAAAGGTGAGGCCAATTGAGTGAAGGGCAACGAGGGCAATTAAAACCAAGGCAATTTGCCCTGAACATAAACGTAAATGTTTTTGGCACCCTCTCGTGAAGGAGGTGTTAACTCTATTTGCACAGCTCTTTGGAACGTTCCCTTGGCTGGCCAAAAGGTAACTAGCTAATCTAATGAAATAGTATGTTAAAAAAGGATATAACTGATTGCTTTTAATCATAGTCGCAACAAGTATTGGGTAACTGGCAAACTGGCACATCAAATTGCTCATGACAGCAGATATCAAATTGATTGGATTAAAACTTCCGTTTCTAGAACATTTTATTCTGTGCGTTTATCGCGTAATTGAACTGCCACATTTGACCAACTGCGGCTCGAGTTGACAGCGGAAAATGCATTTGGCTGTGGAAAGCCTAGAAGGAGGCAAGTGGAATGGCGCTTTTCCGGCAAACCCATTGCATACGAGTATAAGCAGGCCATACGCCAGCTGAATCCAATCCGTTTCGCTGGCGGCTCAATTGTCAGTGCCATCAATCACGTGATTGACATTTGGGTTAGCGTTTTGAGAACTCCCAGCTGGATGTTGTAATCGAGGCTGAAATGGCGAAATGCTGAAATGCCCCACATCCCAGTAAGCCGGATCAGAAAGAGAGACTGGAACAGCAGTGGGTAGAAATTAGCAGCATAACCGGATTTCAAATTTCCAAATGCAAAGTATTTTCGAGCTGAGTCCGAACCCGAAAGGCAGCCCACCGCCGCCTGCTGAAATCCAACTATGGGGCTATTTCCGTGGCCCACACAATGGCCAGTAGTTGGACAAAAGCGGAAAGCCAGAAGAAAGGCGGAGGCAAAAACCGTATGGCCAAAATGGATAAGCTCCCAGTGCCTCTACCAGTGGCAATGCCATTTTAGCAGCCATTCCAGCCACCCACCAATCCACATCCTTCCTGGTCCCGCTTTTGTGCGAAAAAAATAAAACGAGGAGAGAAAAGCTCACAAAGAAAAGGACGAGTGGGCAAAAAGTTTCGGGGGCCAGCGAGGCGCTTCCTCTGGGGGTGACTTAAATAAAATTTGTTGATTTTATTGAAAAGTGATGATGTGTCAAATTTTTTATCGCATTACCAGAGCGCGGCTCTTATTTTGCTTTTAACCTTGCCATTTGCATAAAACTCGCATTGAATAGACACATTAGCATTCTTAATGGCGTGACCGCTGGAAGTCATTTGCTTTCCCCCACCATCACGCCCCGAAAATTTATCAATGCCAAACACGTTTGGGTTGCTTTGCCAAAGGTCTGCTCAGTTCGGTTCTGTTCTGTTCCGGACTGGTCCGGAACCCAGGGATTGGCCCCACCTTGAGACATCCGAGCCCCTCCAAGTCCAGCCCCCATGCCAAGTGAAGCGCATTCACTGAAGTGACAAGTGAGCAATATGTCTGGATCGCTCCTTGTTGGGTCTCCATAGTATTTTGTGATGGGGGGATTCGGGGTTCTGCACTGATTTTTAAGACAAATTGAACAGCGTGTCAAATGGCCCGACTCGAGTTCAACTTTTTGCTTGTTTAGTTTCTGGGATAGTTGAATGAATTATGTGCCAACGAAAGCTATGGTTCTATTGGTGCCGCTTCGTTTGCCGGATATCTGTTGACCAAGCGAAAAGTGATTTTCAGCAGTGAAGGGTCATTTTCATTGGCCATTTGGTAATATGAGTAATGTGATCATTTTAAACAGCACATTACCCCTTCCAACACTTATTACACTGCAATAAACACGCACGCCCCAAGGAGCAACTACTGACCCCATTTGCTCCTCAATTTCTCCCTCGACGGTCATCTGGCCAAGGCCTAAATGAGGAGAAATGCTTTTGCATTAGAGCGCATCCTGGCCATAAATAACATGACGTTTCATTAGCCTGGCAAAATGAAAAGCTATGATCGCCTAGCCAGCTGCCAGAGACAATCAGGGCAGTTATTTTGGCCAACTCTTGGACACTATTTCCCCACTGGTCCAGCTACAGTCGCGTTCAAGTCAGTAGAGGTGCATAAACTATCTTTTATTTTATGCCTCAAGCTTACAATTTATTTCATTTGTTTTTGGAATATGAATAAATAAGTCAAATATTGGCTAACAACCTAAGTTGCAGAATAGAATAAATTAGGTTTGGTAACTCTTTACAAATAACATGACGTTTGTTCCTGCTTCCATTTAAGTACCACTAATTTTATTTTATAATAAAACTATAATTTTATAGGTGACTGTATGAGTGTGATTTCCAGGCAGCTGTCGGCACAGGTGTTTTAATCACGGAACTCACTGGACCCCATCCCTTGGAGCCACGTCCTGCGTCCCTCGTCCTTCGTCCTTCGTACCGCTGCCCCCGCCGCAGAGCGTATAAATTTTCATTTCCAGTTTCATGGCTCAACGCACGGAAAACGCTGTAAGGAGGCGCAGGACCACGGATCTCCATGCTCCATGCTCCATTCGGCATTTGCCATTTGCCTTTGTCGCTTTTTATTGCCTGCACTTCATTTGCTACGCAATTCGGACCCGAGGCGCTGTTTTGCTCTGCGGAAACCCAAAAAAGTGCTCATAAAGCGAGTTTTGGGTTAGACGACCGCAGAAAGTTAATTAGAATTAATGCGCCGGCCGGGCTGTTCCAGAATCGCATTTGAGTGCACCAGCAGCCGGCCCGTTTCGCTATATTATATGTTTACATTTAAATGCCAATGTGCCTCCGCCGAGGAGCAGAACGAAAAAGGACGAAAAGGAGCAGGTCGGTGGGCTGCCAAAATGGTGTGCAATAATCATTTCTGTGTGTGCCAACGGGCTCACGTAGCAGTCGTCATCGTGACGCTCTGTAGGGCCAAATAAGGACCCGGCAAGGACGAAATATTAAAATCCAACATTCACAAAGTCACGAAGCGCCAGCGACACCAGCAGCAGCCACAACAGCAATAATAGCACCGCCAGCCAGGACAACAAAAACAGGACTACAGCAGCAACTGCCGCCACAATGCTAAGCAAATAGACAAAGTAATGAAAAAAATTCTCAAACTCCAGACAACCCGCGCAAATTCGAATACCCGATACCGTACATTCAGCTCTGGCGCTCATGAAGTCATTTAAAGTAAAGGGTATGATATACTAGCTGCTATCCCAAATATATCTCTTAAAAATTAAAAAAAAAACTCGTATAAAAAAGGGTACAGCCGCTTCAACTTTTAGTAGAATATTGCATATTATTGTTTTTGTATTTTAGTTTTTGTTCCCTGCTGCATATTTGTACTTCAATATTTGTCTGAATTTCATAATCCTCAAATTATATATGATATCCCCCAAAAGCCCGAGTACATTGAAAAAGCAAACACTGAAAGTTTCGCTGCCAGAATAGAAGACAGCAAAAAAAAACCGAAAATAGGAAAAAACTCATCAGGCGGAATGGAGGTCGCCACGGGTGCAGTAAACGTGGCTAATGAATGCTTTTGGCCCACTGATGGTAGCTCTGTGTTTAATTTAATAACACGCACACACCCGCACACTCACACACTGCGAAAGAGACAAGACACACAGACATGTGTATAACTCCCACCACATACACATGTCGCCATCTGCTTGTGTGTTTGTATATTGAACAAATAAATTTGAAATGTTGACAACATTTTGCTGTTTGTTCATAAACGAGGCCATCGTCACCTGTGGGAGTGCACGTGCCACCACCGCGCTGCCCTGATCCCTGCCACCCACCCGGATCCTGACCCACCCGGAATCATCACAATCGCATCCCAGAACTAAAGCCGTGGGGCAATAAAACTTGACGCCACCGACAGCGGAAACTACTTCGCCCCCAGGGTGCCGCACACGCATAAAAAAGCAAAACTTTCGCATTACGAGTACTGCCACATGACCATATAGACCATGTGCACATGCACACTGTGGACTATAGACCATAGACCATAGACCATGGAGATTCCCCCATGAGGAACGCACACCAAGAGCACTTACATTTCAAACCCATAAACTGTCATGTAAAATCCCAGAAACTTTCATTTGCAATTTGCTTAAAGTTTATGCAATAGGTGCGCCACAATAAAAAGTTCGCCAAGGTGTATGGACCATAATAAACCTGCAGTTGCAAACGAAGCAAAAAGTCTTTCTTCCACCCCCCCACCATCGATGTGTCTGTGGAAAACTTCAATAAATATAAAATTTTCAGAAATATATATACTTTGAAATATAGAGAATAAAACTTCGAGGGCGCAAAATAGTGTCTTCAGACAAGGACACAGCAGCCAGAGTCATTCAAATAACATGTACAAAACAAGGAAATACACTTTCCTTGCCTTCGTTATATAAATGTAGTTTGCCACCGAAGGTAGGACTTACAACTCACTTTTTTCTTGCTAAAAAGTAATATTAAATGTTGCTTACCCAAAGGAACTCAACAATTACGCCAATCTGAAATGCCTCATATGTGGGGAAACGCCTGGAAATGCGGCTTACTCAACTGTATAGAGCTTTACGATGTACATAAAATCAGAGAACGCCTACATTCAATCAATTTCAAAGTTATTTGTTACAAATTTTAAGTGCTGGGCCAATGTTAATCAAAATTAAATGCCATAAAAGGAGCAGCGACAGAAACTTCTTATCGCCTCCCGCCACGTACACAGTTAAAAACAGGAAGTGCTTTCACTGACGAGCAAGTGGAGACAGCCAGGATCATAATAATGCGGGGTGGTAAATCAGCAGTGAGCAAGAAGGTAATGTGCCTTCATATTTCAACGTCACAACGGCGTCGTCATCATTTTTCTGCGGCCAACGCAACGGCGATGACATCAACAGTTCTGCATAAATTTGCACCCGATAAAAATTTCAAATGTTTTCATCAAATCATTTTGGGTGAGGCTTTCGTAGCTGAGGCAGTGGGAAAACCCCACAAGTTCGAAGGAGTGGGATGATATGGGGTCCGTGTTCTGGGGACTGGTTTCTGGTTTCTGGGTTCTGGTTTCTGGAGTCTAGTCGTCATCCATCATTAATGGAGCGCACGGGGGCTGAAGGAGTTGAAATGGCAACTAAGCGCCACGGGCTACTAGGGAATATTCGGAAAATTCGGAAAATGGGTAGACGCCGGGCTCTGGAACTGAGAAACGTTGACGATGACATTACTTTTTAATGACTTTGACTTTCTGCAGCAATTGGTGTGCGTCTGGCACTCGGAATTCTGCCACTTTTGTTTCGTTTTATGGGCCTCATTGAAGACTGACGGGGTGTTCGTTTGGATTTTATGCTGGCTTTTATTTTTATTGGTTCGCTTTAAACTTGCTCATCCCTTGTAGCGCTCTGATTTCACTTTTTTCGCACGTGCCCATCTTTTTTGTGAAAGCTTTGCTTTTAAAAGTATTAATACTACTTATTTGCATACCCTGTTTACCGACATCTACTTACTTCAATGTGTCACCAAATCCCTGCGTGAATCCGATGCACAAAAGACACTTTTCAATAAAATCAAACAGTTTCGTGCATTTCGTTTTCACAAAAAATTGCATTACAAAATGTTGAATGCTTCACACAGATCTGTCACGTTTCAATTCGCAGCACTTTCTATACTTCTTTTTCGCAAATATCCCAAACGAAATTTTCCATAAGAGATATATATATTTCATAAATGAAACTTTTTATGATGGCCAAATAAAAGGCGGCGTTTTGTTACCAAGGGTTTTTCATTGCAATTAAAGTATATTGCTGAGCGCTTAAAAATGTCGGCCAATTTTTGCACAAGTTTTTGTTCAAACTGCGCCGCACTGCGCCACGCCCACTTTCGGGGCAAGAGACGTACGCCCTTTTTGGAGTCGCAGGCTCAAAACCGCCGACGGCTGACGGCTGCCAATATTCGTATAATATTTTCACTGTGAAATATTTTCTGCTCATAAAAGAAAATTGACTGCGAAAATTGTTTTTACCGAGGCGGTTGCAGCGCCGCCACGCCTCCTTTCCGTGCGCCCCCTTTCGGTTCAGTTTTGCGGGCGTACGTCCATAAATGTGTATGTGCTTTGTTTACTTTTTTGCGTGTGCACTTTTACGTTTTTATGCGTTATTTTGCATGCATCAGCGCGTTATTAAATTCCGCGCTCCCCAAGGAACGAGCATCCGCATCCACATCCACATCCTTCGTCCTGGCGTCTCATTTAACCGCAAGCTCCTTGCCATAAAAGCCAAAAAATAACACGAGAAACGTATACATTCGCCCCACCGCCTCACCATCAAATTGGGCACATTGTTCCGCCTTGAAATTCGCAATTGCTCCGTTTGTAGCTCGTATAAATTCGAGGCACTCCGCGGATTTTTGCATCCGCATCGGGAATGCAAGGCACGCACTTTCGCCGGCACACCATTATGAACTCCGATACTTGTCACCTGATACGCAGCTGACTTATATTCTGCTTAGGTAGTAATCCTTGCTAAGAGAAGCTTAAGGAAGTTGCTGTCAATAAGCAGACGTGAAAAGTCGTAGGTTGTCTAGCTTCAGCTTTGGGCTTCAACTATAATTATAAGTCAGGATATTGCCACACACCATATGGATAAAAAACAAAAAATAATACTCATTTATTACTCTAACTGCAAAATGTACACTTTTTTAAGAAACATATTCAATTACAAGTTTTTCTACCTATCTTATTTCCAATCGATGGGCTTTTTTCATCAACAAATCGGTGTAAAACACGATCCGTATTCATGTCTACCATTTTCCGGCTTTCTGATTTTATTTTTAAATACCTATGAAACCATTTGCAGCCGTATCTTGTTACAGTTTTTGCGCGAAGCTGAAAAAAAGCAAATAATAAATAATGGTGCTGCCAAAGGTAAGTAATTTGATTTCATCACATTAAATTTGTTTAAACAAACTTTCCTTTCATTAAATCATTATGTTAAACAACTTAACATGTGTTTGACCGTTATTTCAAACAGTATGCTAACGCATCAAATCCTGTTGACTACAGTCAAATGTTAGCAGTCACCCCGCTGCATCTGTTAACCGTTAGCACAGTTTTCCCCATGTCCTTCTGCTTACAGACTGTTAAGGGCAGGCTGGCTGTATGTTATGTAACAGGGCTGTGCGAACAGAAGTGGCCAATGTTAAGTTTGCTGTAGAAAAGGAATTAAACTTGGTGAAAACTTGTGCTTAATCTTTGCGTAATTCAACAGCTCGTGTAAGACCCAGGCTCAGTTCGTTACAATTTAATCACATTCAATTTCCATTCAAATCGGGAGCAGGTGATGGATGCGCGCCTCTTAGCCTACTCGGCAAATTTGCAATAAATTCCGGTTCCAGTGTACTTCGGTAAACACATGCAATGCAATTCATCATTCAGCCACACACACACGCACAGGTGAATGATCTGCCGGTGAAAGAGGGATTCGCGAGCGGTTTTCAGGGACCGGGAAATGGGAGATGGAATCTTTTGAAAGGACGAGGCCGCCGCCAAAACGTCCCATTAACAGGAGCTCAATGCGCAAAAAGTCAGATCCTATGGCTGATGGCTGGAGCCAAAAAGCAAATGTCAACACTATCAATCATCGCTTTGACAGTTTGAGTGCTTGTTTTAGTATTTGTGCTTTTGATTATGTGACTCACACACTCGCACACCCACACACCCACTACCCACTCACACACATGCAGGCGCATCAATTGATACACTTACAACAAATTGTTTGTAGTGGAACACGTGGGCGTGGCCCTGCGGACGGGATTGCATCGGCTCGCTCGACGTACATACTCGTATATGGGATATGGGATATGGGCTATATGTATGTGTATGGCGGCAGGATTGGGGCAGGGCCACTTGATTGATGGAGCCACCGACCTAAGCCATTTTAAATGAACAAATTGAATGTGCGGCAGCTCACATGCACACCTACAGCAGGGGGCACAGCAATAGCAGCGAGTGTCTAATTAAGAAAGCGAAAAAGAAGCTCATCTCACTCCCGACTGAAATGAAATACATTTGAAATGGCTCACGATTTTTAAATGCACATAGGAGATAGAAAGCACTATTAATGTGCCGCCCACAGTGAGTTTGCGGTTGCCTGCTGGTGATTATAGTAATTTAATTTCTTCGAACAAAACAAATTTGCAACAAAAAATAAAATCAAACAAAAGGGAATCCCGAAAGGAAATGGAAAAAGCGCAAGAATAGAGGGAAATCCCCAGGTCAACGTGCGGTCTGTGAGAATGGATTGGGTCTGGCGCGGAACATGGTTCGTTGGCGCTGCTTCTGGTAGGCCTCCCGTTCCGCCCGTTGGCGCAGATCCTCCAGCTCGCGCCGCCGCGTCTCCTGCAGCTTGGACGTCTGGATGTTGAAAATGCGCCGCTGCTGGACGCGCAATTCGGCGGTCAGGTTGAAGGGCTCGAACTTCAACTTCAATGGCTGAACTGCGGCAGGACGATTCGAGGACAACAAGGGCTGCCGGCTGCTCAGCGGAATGGGCTTGGCCCTGGGCGCCTGCATTCTGTGCAGCTGCCACTGCTGCTCGCGCTCCCGCTGCAGTTGCTCCACCCGCAAGCGGCGCTTCTCCTCCATTTCACGCGAGTTCCTGAGCACATTGGGGGTCATGGGACAGGTGACCCGATGCACGACGACCCTGGAGGCCTGGCGTTCGTGTACCTGCCGGAAATCGGGCATCGGGCGGCTGTGGAACTCGCGCTGCTTGCGCTCCTGCTCCTGGCACTCGCGTAGCAACCGATCCTTGCGACTGGAATAGATGTCCTTGAAGCGATAGGCCTAACGCATACAAAGTACAATAGATAACACCAAGAGATAAAAGCTTTGTTGGTCAGCCGTACCTTTGGAGCACACACTTGCGGCGGAAATGCGGGCTTCTCGCAGCTGATCTTCTTGTTCCTGTACAGATTGGCCACCAACATCTGGGAATGCTGCTGGGCCTGACTAACAATTTGCTTTCGATGCTGCTGAAGACTGGGAAAGTGCGCACATATTTGGGATGCAAAGCTGTCCATCGGCTCCACACCCAAATCACCCGAGTTGTACTCCGCTTTGGAATCAGACATTATTATCATATACGATATATGTAATTCCGGGATGTGCTCTGTGCTCTCGTTGATGGCAGCTAATGCGGAGTGGCTGGAATTTCAGTTACATTCAATTATCGGCCTGCTCTGAGCCCAGGTTTCAAATGAAAATGTTTTGGGCATTAGTGAAAATTTCATTTGGACGTGCTGGCATGAATAATGTAAAGTATTCCGGCTGACACTTGCTTCCGAATGGTCGGGGGCTGTCTGCCACTTCCGCTCCCCAACTGGATGCACTTCCAAGCGGTGGCGGTGGTGGTGGTGGTGGTGGTGCAGAGGGCGTGGCAGTGGCTCCCCGCCCCTCTGGCGAACTGTCATTTTCCTGTCCGACTGTCTGTCCCCGTCAGTCCGGGACGTCTATGTGGTGTCAATTTGATTGCAAAGGTAATTCAAATAATCTCATCATACACAATCTAGCTGTGTATCCTGTCCTGCGTCTTCATCCCCAGTCCCCAGTTTCAATCCTGAGTCCTCAATCCTCAGTCCTGAGTCCTATCGTCCTCAGTCCTGAATCCCTGTCCCCATTCGAATCAGAGTTCCGCCCTTCATTTCAACGACAACTTCAAAGCGAGCACTGCAAATAAATCAAATTAAATTTAACATTTTCTTTTTTATTTGGCCTTGCTGTGTGGGAGAAATTTAATTTTCAGCAACAGATTTCGTTGGATTTCATTAAAAAGGTTCTCCATAATTAAATTGATTAAAAGATGGAATATAAAAGTGCGAAATGTACACGCATATGTATTTTAATCCGGCGCAGCTAATGAATACGAAATATCAGCTCGAAAGCGCAGCAAAATAGTTTGATAATTAATTTTGTTTGTTTGAGATACAAAAATACGCCATTCAATGAAAACAAAGGAATAAATATTTCAAAGGAAATTGTAAATGGAAAGATACATTTATATAATAAATCGCCATAACCATAAGTACAACCAAACCATCCCAGGGTAATCAGTGAAAAGTGTCGCTTCTTATGGGGGAATTAAGAGTAATTTCCTCCACTTACTCGTACCAATGGAGCACTCACACTTCTCCACCGGGAGCTGTAGAAGTTCGGCAATCCAGCACGCTTTTTGATTAACCACAACAAGTTGTCCAGAAGTTTGTGGCCCAGACATGTGCCATAATCCACTCGAGCCAAGTTGCAGCAGCCAGCAAATCACCCATCCTGATTAAGACTATGTAAATACACATGTCCGTTGATCCGTGAGGGTTCCGGCACATAAGCTGGTAACTTTTTAAAAGCCCCTCCAGATAGCCGACATTGCTTACCAAATAAAAGTTTGGCCTTATATCTCTGATAGACATTAGCAGGGCGAAAAGTTAACAAAGGAGTGCTGGGGCAAACTTACCGACTGATAAACGTGCCTCACAAACAGAGAGCAAAAGTTATCCCCGAAACTTGCCGCAAAACAAAAACCCGTACTTCCTATCTCTGCGATAATTGCTCCTTTAACTAGAGGATTTTTCGCAGTTTTTTTTTTCGTTTTGCCCCCATTTGAGCAGTTTCTGCAAACCCACTCCTGATTAGTTTGTAACCGGGTTTCGGGGCCGTGGGTCTTTGTGTATTATCTTTCAGTTTGCAATTAGTGGCTCATTTAAAAGAGATTTGCAGCAGCGACTTTTGCTGATTGGATTGCGTCCAGTTTGGCGGCGGGTCAAAGGTCGCGGAGCCTTTCAAAGCTCGGCGGCGCCCAGAATGATGGAAATTTGAGTCGCCCGGGGTGCCAATGCCGCATGTGGGGCGGAACAAAAACAGGTTCGCCTCCGTGCAAAACATTAAACGCTACGATACGACCTTGCTGTTGCCCACATTCTTCTCGAGCCATTTAAGCCCAGCGCCATTTTCATAAAACGAAATTATTAAAATTGTTTATTCGGGTCTGTCGTGTGTGGCCGTGTGTGTCCTTGCTGCTCCCGGATGTGCGCATCCTGCCGCACAAAAACATTATTATCGAGCAGTTAGCTGCACAGAAAAGCAACTTTAAATTAAACGCAAGAGCGCCCCACGAAATGGAACTCGGGCCAAGTGTTAGGAAGGTCCTTTTTTAAAAAAGGGAGAATATTTACTCTATAATGTACATATATTGTGACACTGGCCGCCACAACTGACCGAAGATAAGTTCTTTAAACATATATATTTACAAATGCCGAATCTGATACCTCAAACCCATGCAAAATAACTCGTTTTTGCGGCATTTTGGCGAATTATTAACCACTGCGGTCGCTGCATTTTTCACATTATTTAGGCCACAAATCATTTTTGGGCATTTTCAAATAGAGCCGCTTGCCGCCACATGCCACATGCCACATGACATTTACATGGCGCACAAAATGAATTGCGAATTTATTCATCGATATGTTTACGGCCGGCGCCAATCCAACAAGCCAACAAAATCAAACAATTGAAGGCAATCCAATTGCGGACTTGTACTCGTATGGCCGAATCGAAATGTGTCAGGCCATCAATTAATGAATAAATGCGACAGCGACCGTATTGTCAATCATAATTATTGATTGTCCATTACGAGCTTAATTTATGCATATGCGAGGGAAAGTGTTCGTGCTGAATGGCGGTAAGGAATCGATTAAAATGTTTGTCGGGAACATCAATTCCGCCACAATTCAGAAATAGAAATATTGGCATTGGCTGGAGTGGCACTCCCCCAAAAGGAGAACGCCTCGCATTCGTGAGGTGTTGACATTAGAGTATCTGTTTCGCATATTTACGATACTGCCCGGCCGGATTGCTTATGGCCATTAATTGTTGGGGCGTTGGTCGGCGGAATGCAAATTTAATTTGTTAGCCGTGTCAGCTGTCCAGTTGGCCACTTGGCCAAGTGGCCAGCGGGCGAACTTACCGGGCCCAAACAATGCGCGCTTTCTTATCGCGTGTCAGCAGCAGCAGCAGGAGAGCCGAGCATCCGCATCCCTTTCGCAGCAAGTCCCACATGTCCTGCCTTATCCTGCCACATCATATCCCTGCCCCGAAGTCCGGCAGAAGCCGAATCCAAAGCCGGGACAGCAACGGCAACAGCAACAGAAACAGAAGCCTTACTTGACGCAACAGCAGACCAATAAACAAAAGCATTAAACCCATAAAACAGGGAACATGGCACTCTCGAGAATTAACACTACATTATTCACAATGCAATTTCGAGACAAGTGAAAGGGTAATGGGCAGCGGCGGCTCGAATGGGTAGTACCTAGTAGTTGTAGCCAGTATATGGTTTCTACGAAAAGGAGTGTGAAACAACTATTTGTGAAATCCCAAAGATACAAGTTACATATTTGTATCCCTCCATCTTTTGAGTTCCATCTTTAGTCTGATTTGCTCCACTTTGGATGTCTAATATGCCCCACTTTGGCGTTCACCCGTATGCCTGATATGCCCATCGATGCAAGGGGTAGCTTTATAAAAAATGTTTCGACTCGAAACGGCCACGAATGCGAATGCATATGGATGTGCTGGCATTGGGGCTTCGCCGGGATGGGTGGGATAGGCAGGGAGTGGGTGAAGTGGGTGTCTGTGTGTGTGGGCGTGGGGTGACCCACATGGATGCCATTGTGGCCGCGCCATTTGCCTCCGGGCGGTCTTTCGCGCTCCGTAGGTGTCTCCGTGGGACCGGGATTGGTCTGCACCTTTCGCTGCAGCCTTCGCTACTGTTTTCATTTGGTAAAAATGTGAAAAATTAAAAATATTGTGCGCGTGCACACACAACAATGTGCGAGTGCTGGTGTGTAGGTGCAGATGTATTCCCCGGTGCTCCTCTGGTTTCCCGTGATGCCCCGCCGTGTTCCTTTTATGCATATTTCCCACAACACATTTCGGAGCCGAGGCATTCGCTTTTAAATCATCAAAGAGGGGGGATATATACATATATATATGAATATATATATAGTTAGTTCGCGGCTGAAGTCGGGCTTATCCCATCAGCGGCATCAGAGGTGCCCGCGCCCCCCTCCTCCACCGTTGATTTATGTCCGGAGTTTGCGTTCATTTATCATTACAGTTGAAAGCATTGGCGCTTTGTTCCTGTTGTTTCTCGGTTTTTCATTTTTTATTGCATATTTTTTATTAATGCACAATATGCACAGCAGCCGTGAAAGCATAATACTTTTAATACAACCTATTTTTTGTGTTCTGCAGGTGCCAATTGTGGTGCTTATCTCAGCAATGCTTTTACCATTTGCATTTTAAATAACACCTATGAACGGGTTGTACAAAACAATTGTTTGCTGGGCACTCCAACACATATCAATAAAGAGCCTCCCAATATTCGGATTAACTTGGGCTTTTCGCCTAATCTGAGTAAAGTAATAAACGCATTTATTCTGCAGATAAATCAGGTCTTCGTTTACAATTCATTTATGCATTTCCAAAAAGCGTCCTTAAAGATTTGGACAATAAGCAAACTAAACTAGCTGCACCAAGTGGTAACTGGGTTAACAAAATCCGTACCTGGCCTAGACTACAAATATGCCGTAAAAATCGCTTTGTTAAATGGGAATGAACACATTCGGTCGTTTTTGTGGCGCCGCTTAATTAAAGTCCTTCGCCAGCAGGAATTTTTAATTCCATAAAAACAAATACAAGCGGAGGGGCAAAAGTTCACCGGAGACAATCGTTAAAGTACAGTGGGCCCTGTGCAGGCGACCGAACATCATCAGCAGTCAGTTGTGTTTGCGCAGCCGTGAGTAAAAAATTCAAAAACATAAACGGAAATTACCACAAAATAGAAACCGCAACCGAAGTCGGAGCGCCAACCAACCACCCCACCACCCAACGAGCCACCCAGCAAGGACTTACACAGACATACACACACATACACACACACACACGTACACATCCAGTGGGCAGCCACACTGGGGTGCAGTGTCCTGGCTGCGGTCCTCGTCCTGGAGGTTGTTGTTGGGCCGCAATCTAGCAGGACGATCTTTTGATTAACATTCTTGGCTTTTTTCGGGGGAAATTAGTTTTTATGTTTATTACCTGAACCATTTAGGGGCGCTGACAATGCTCGAAGCGGAGTATTTGGGCCA